GGACAGAAGGCCCTCTGCATGTGGGAGACAGTTGTGCAACTTGGTCTGTTTGAGGGGCCCCTGGTAGTGGAACCAGGATCTATCCCTGGTACATGAGCTGGCTTCTTGGATCCATTCCCTGTGGTGGGATGCCTTACTCAGCCTGGAAGCAACAGGAAGCAGCCTCAACTTAATATGCTAGGCTTTGTTGATTTCCCATGGGGGAGGCCTTACCCTTTCAGAGTATATGAGAGGCGAGCTGGGGGAGGGGAGGAAGGGGAGGAAGGGTGTGAGGGGCAACTGTGGTTGGTATGTAAAATGAATAAAAATATAAAATAAAAAGAGTGCTGATTTTTTTGTTTTGTTTTGTTTGTTTGCTTGCTTTTTCTTTGAAGGCAGGGCCTTGGTTAGCCTAGAAGTCACTATGTAGACCAGGCTGTCCTTGAACTCACAGAGATCCGCACGCATTGGCCTTCCAAGTGTACTGTTCTTACAGAAGATCTGAGCGTGGTTCCCAATATTTACACGGAGTGGCTGCCTGGACCATCTTAGGACATTTGCACTTAATGTGCACACACACAAGCAAAATAAGTCTAAAGAACAGAAATAAAAAGAAAAACAGGAATGGGGGAACTCACAGATAAGTTACAGTGAGGCTTTGGGAAACTGGCACCCTGCACACTGGTAGAAACGTAAAGTGGTATGGCTAGTGGGTGAATCATATAATGGCTTCCCATGGAACTGAAACTGAACAGGCTGGGGAGAGTCTCAGTGGTAAATTGCCTGCTGTGTGAGCATGAAGACCCGAGTCCCATCTCCAGCACCCACTAAAAGCGGGTGGCACACACAGGAGTGTACATACACACCTGTAACCCCAGCTCTAGGGTGGCAGAGACAGGAGAATTCTGGAGCTTGATGCCAGCCAATCTAAACTGTGATGTCTATGTTCAATGAGATGAGGGATGAGCTCAAGAGCTGGCTCAGTGGTTAAAAGCACTTACTGCTCTTGCAGGAGATAGCAATCACTCACACAGTGGCTCAGACAGGCCTGTAACTCCAGTTCCAGGGAATCTGATGCCCTCTTCTGACTTCTGCTGGCACTGCAGACGTCCGGGGTGGATGAGATTGAGGCTATAGAATGCACATGTAATAAACTGTTAAATAATGAGAGGCAAAAACATCTTATTTTGTCAAAAATGAAGAAAAATTTCCCTGCTGCTGTGCAGTACCTAGAAGTTGAATTTACAAAGGTAGAAGAGAATTTCAGTTTTCAGGCTCTTACCTGGAACCCTACCTAGCATTTAGAAGTTGAGACAGAGAACTGCTGTGAGCTTGGCCTACATGGACCACACAGTGAATGTGAGGTCAGCCTGGACTAGAGCATGAGATCTGGTCTTAAACACAACAGGTGAAGAGACGGCTCAAGAGGTAAAGCACTTGCAACATATGTATGAGTACCAGAGTTCAGATCCCCAGAATCCATAGAAAAGATGAATTCTAGTGGTTATGGCAGCTTGACTGTAATCCTAACAGACAAGAAGCAGAGACAGGTTATATCAGTAACAAGCTGGCTAGCCAGGAGTCAGAACAGCCTATCTGAGTTCAGCAAGAGATCCCACCTCAGGTTGGCAGTGATTGAGGACACTCAATGCCTTGGACCTTGGGCCTCTGGAGGGAGCACAAAGGTCTTGCTCACACAGATAGCACTAGGAAAAACTGGAATGTTAAATGCAGGGTTATCTTTTCAAGGAAAAGATTTATAACCTGTTTTCTGCCCAGAAGGCTGGGAATGGAGGTGGCTGATAGCCTAAGTGTCCTTGGGCTATCTGTAGGGCCAGGTCCTACCAAACCCTCACAGGCAGTATCAGAGGCAGCTAACAGTCTAGGTGACCTCTGTGTTATGGCCAGGGGCTCCCCAGTCAGGTGGCTAATAGCCCAGATAACCTCTACACTACCTGTAATGACAGACCATATCAGATCCTCCCCTAGGCCTTGGATATTGGTAGCCTATGTCTAGAACCTATCTTCATGAAAGAAATACCCTGTACTTTGAGAAGAGTCCAATGTAATTATGCCTCCTGTGCACAGGGGTTTTGCTACACCAGGAAACTTTCCAAACTGTACTGTACTTAAATATGCCTAAAATAAACTGCCTGGGGTCAGATTCTAGAAGTTTGAACCAACACCTGCTACTGAGTTGAACCGGATTTCTTGTTTCATGTGCATCGTTACTCTGCTGGTCATAGTGCTTGCAGATCCTCACAGGCCTCAACATGCAGGTTGCACATGAACCCACATCTATACATGTGAACATACATACACACATGCTTGCACGCCACACATACTCATAAAAAGGTGAAAACAGCACTTGCTAGCAAGCCTAATAACTCGAGTTCCACAGTGGAAGGGAAGAGCACACTCCTGCAGATGTCCTTTGAGCTCCACTTGAGGTGAAATCTGCTATGGAGTCAAAATGAGCTGAACTTTTGATCCTCCTGTCTCCACCCTCCAAGTATTAAGATTACGGTAGCCAAGTTTATACAGTGCCAGAAATTGTACTCTACTGGTACATCCCCAGCCCAGGCTGCCCTGGCACTCACTATGTCGTCAGTAGGCTGACATCCTACTCCCCCTACCCTCTTGCTTCAGCCTCTCAAGAGCTGTACTACAAGTATTTATCACACACAGCAACTTTTGTGTTGTAAATTACCTGTTGTAATGACAGTAATAACTTTCCCTCTGAGCTCCTGAAGGAGTGTAAGGTGTAAGAGCTGTGCCATACTTCTGCTATCACGGTCACTAAAAGTACACTTTGGACAACAAAGCAGTAGAGATAGGTGCTGGACCTCACCACACATTCTGACAGAACAGGAACTCCAGACAGGGAAGTGGCTTGACAAGGTCATACTGCTGAGGGCTAACCGTAAGCTCTCACCTGCTACTCCACACCCATCTGTCACCTGTCCTCTCCAAGGTCCCTCTGTTCCCACTTCTCTGACACTGTGACTATAGTGTGCTCTGTTCCCAATAGTGGAGTGCTTGCCTAGCATGCACAAAACCCTCGATTCCATCCCAACATTACACAATTGTACACACAGGTTAATTCTAGCACTTGAAAGGAAGAGGTAGGAGCACCATTAAGTTCAAGGTCATCTTCAGCTACACAATGAGCTCAAGGACTGCCTGGGCTACTGTGTCAAAAGGTGTAAGGGTGGGACAGGTAAATAGATAGGTTGGTGTAGTACTTGCTATATAAATATGAGGACTTAAATTTACAAGCCCATTGGTGGAGATAAGAGGATCCCTTGGGATAAATGACCACCAAGTTGTGGGATTATAAACACATGCTACCATACTTGACTTTTTATGTGGGTTACCAATGTCACTGGAGGTTGACCTCTGGCCTACACACGCACACTCCACTTATAATCCTAGTATACACACACAAATAGTAATAAAACTTTTCTTTTTTTAATATTTATTTATTTATTAATTATGTATACAATATTCTGTGTGTATGCCTGCAGGCCAGAAGAGGGCACCAGACCCCATTACAGATGGTTGTGATCCACCATGTGGTTGCTGGGAATTGAACTCAGGACCTTTGGAAGAGCAGGCAATGCTCTTAACCTCTGAGCCATCTCTCCAGCCCCTGTAATAAAACTTTTCTAGTCTCACTTCTGTAATCCTCACCTGTAACTGAATAACACACACACACACACACACACACACACTGAATCAGACACCAGGCCTGAATCACAGGGTTTAATCAAGACATTTGCTTGAGGTGCTAAGGCAGGATAATAAATTTGAGACCAGCATGGGTTATGGGTTACATGATAAAATCCTGTCTGGAAAGACGTTTAAGGACTGGATGGAGCATTAAATTTAAATGACCCAGCAGTCTAGATTGCTTGTTATGGGTTGATTTCTTGAGTTTAAGAAAGAAAAGAGAGGAAAGAGAGGAGGGAGAGAGTGTGCAGGGTGTAGATGATTAAGAATGCCTACTTCTCGGCCGGGTGGTGGTGGTGGTACACACCTTTAATTCTGCCTTCAATCCCAGCACTTGGGAGGCAGAGACAGGCGGATCTCTGTGAGTTCGAGGCCAGTCTGGTCTACAGAGTGAGTTCCAGGACAAGCTCCAAAGCTATAAAGAGAAACCCTGTCTTAGAAAAAGAATGCAAACTTCTCTTGCAAAGGTCCCAGAGCCCTCATCAAGCAGCTCACAACTGCCTGTAACTCAGATCCAGGGGAACCTGATACCTCTGGCCTCCTCAGGTATTTTCACTCCCATGTACATACCTACACACAGATAACACAACTATATATATGTGTGTGTGTGTGTGTGTGTGTGTATACACATACACATATATTTAAAGAGTACTTGCTGTGAAATCATGGGGATCACAAGCCTGTAACTCCAGGTCTGAAGAAGGCTGACAGGATTACTGGTGCTTGATGGTTTTTGGCCTAGTAAAGAAACTGTAAACCACAGGTTCAGGGAAAGAGAGCCTGCCTCAAATAGGTGGACAGTGAGAGGACTTCAGATGTCCTCTTCTGTCTTCAGTGGGAGCACACGGGTGTGCATATCTGCACACACGTGTATTCCCACTCACACCCTAATAAGTTTTAAAATAAACAAAAACCAAGTTTGCTGGTATGAACTGTCATCATCCCTATGCATCCCTCCCAAATAAGGATGACACTGATGTTCCAACATTCATTTTACTTAAGCAGCTAGAACCAGATTTGGAGCAGTGTGAAGGGACAGGTGGCTGATTGGGGAAAGGAAGCAGGCATGGGAGAAGACATGATGTAGGTTGAGTTGAGGGCCTGGAATTCACAATCAAAAGCCATGGACGGCAGCTTGATCTTGGTTGATTTGAAATTCTGTCAACAGTATACAGATGTTTCGATGGCCAAGTAAGTATCTGCAGACACATGACCGGAGCATCCACTTGCAGGTTGGGTTAACGTGAAAAACCAAGGTCCTTATGGGAGGGAACGCTGGGTTGTCTGGGTTCTGCATTAGTGGGTTTTGAGCCCTGGGTTCCTAAGGCCTGACAGGATGAGAAGGAGCTGGGCTGCATAGTAGGTGGTCATGATCACATGACGAGCAAAAGGTAAGGAACGAATGAAAGCGTTCCAGGCCAGCACACCATCGGAGATTGTGAAGAGCACACCACCCCAGCCAGCACTCCCACCCCTGACAAGGCTGCGCCACAGCATGGAGCTCAGGATCAGCCCATAGGCCAACACAGGAAGGACCATGTCCGGCTCAAGGTGTGGCAAGAGGAAGCTGCAGTATATGAGAGAGGCCAACATGATGTACAGCAGCAATCCGGGCTGCAGAGGGGACAGGCCAAAGGCCCGGAGGTAGAATAAGTGGGCAGCAGAGAAGGCAGCCATGCCTGAGGGAGAGAGGGATGGGCACCCAGTGAGGTAGGGGTAGATGCTCAGTGAGGCAGAAGTTGGCCTCCTGCTTCTCACTGTTGCCTTGGCCACCACCAGGCCTAAAGGAACAATGACTCCAAAGTGCCAGCTCCTTCCCCCATGGCCACGGCACTATCATATTCTACTGAGGTTAAAGTACCCCTTTTTCCTGGTGGGTTTCCAATTTCATCTCATTCTTGGGTGTTCTATCAGTTCCCAGAGCAAAGGGAATGACTTAAAATTCATACTATGTCATGTGCTTGCTCTGTTCAAGAGTCCATCAACTCCACACCGTGTTCTAAGAAGCCCTATACCCTCATTTCACCAACTCTACTCCAGCCAGACTGGCCCACTGGGGCAAAATAACTCACTTGCTATCACCCCAGGCCCCCCCACCTATCCCCATGCCCAAGATGGCCCATCTCCCCACACGTACACACATTCTTTTTTTTAAAAAAAAAAATGCCTCAATACGTGTGGTACTGCAATTTCTGTATATTCCTGTAATCCTGGCACTTGAGAAAGCTAAGGCAGGAGGATCCTAAGTTTGAGGCCATTCAGACCAGCCTGGACTACACAGATGTCACCCCCACCCTCCTCGGCTATGCTGCATTGTAATTTTCTCCACACTACTCATTCCAACCAGGTAATCCCACACCCTTGGATGAACTATGAGCTGACTGCCACTCATCACTGCCTCCTGGTGTCTTGGGATCACAGCCTGGTTCAGCCCAGTGGATTCTAGGGGAAGCTCCTTGTAACCCAAGTAGTGTCCCAGCACTAACTCAACTCCACAACAGCCCTAGAAGTATTTTCATAGGGTCCCTGCTCACCATAAAGGAAAGCTTCAGGCCAGATGAGGCAGGCATCGCCCACAGCAGAACACACAAGAGCTCCTTGGAGGAGCCAGGAGGAGCTCCTACCAGGGGTCACAGCCCACAGGAACACAACCAGGCAGAGGATGGGCAGGCACTTGACCAGGGCACTGACCCAGGACGGTTGGTCCTCAGGAATCCAGAGTAGGAAGTAGAAGGAGCAGGCAAGGATGAAGGGGACCAGCCACTTGCGGACCTGTGGGTGCTTCAGGAGAGGGAAGCTACTCAATCTCCCACACTCAGCACAGTCCTCAGGTGGGAGTCACAGCAAGGACGGTGGGAAATGTCTGCAATTCCAGTACTTAGGAGATGGAAACAGGAGGACTCTAGGCTCAAGATCAGTCTAGGATACATAGTGAGGGTCTATTTTAACATCTGCTCCCCACCCCATACCACCCTCATGCCAGGACCCAAGTTATGTCCAGGTTGGACTTCAGGATCTTTAGCCACTTTGGTAATTTTGTCACTCATGTCTCCTGCAAGGACTCAAGGACTAAACTACAGTACCTTAGAACCCAAACTCCTGGAAGGCTAGGGAATCCCAACCAACTCACCACGCAGAGAATAATCCCAGGCCTTAGGGCTGCCCACATTCCCAGGCCTGAACCCACCCCCACCGCATAGGTTCTCACTTGGTCTGAGAAGAGTGTCTTCAGAAGCAGCCCCTCTTTTCTAGCATCCATGTTGAATGGTGTCTATTTAGGAACCAGTGGCTTCAGAGGGCAGAGGGGAAGCCTTGTAAGGTTACACATTAATCCAAGTGTGTCCTGTGGACTCTGGGACTGATAACAGGGCTCACCCAAGGTCTGTTCTTGTCTGGCACTTGCTGATAAGGTGCCCATCAGGACTCAAGGGTCCCTCCACCCTTAACAGCCCCTAAGAACCTGGCCACCTACTCCTCTTATAGACCACCATAGGTGAGCTCCTACTAGTGGACCTCCCATCGTCTTCTGCACAGTCAATCAGAAGGGACAATGCAGGGTTCTACAGAGGGGTACCTACCCCCAACAACCAACACTGAAGAAGAGAAGCAGGAAAAGACTCCAGAGAGGAGTCCTGCCACAAGCACTAATTGAAAAAAAAACCTGCCTTGTGCTTGATGTCACTCAAACACATTTTTTACTCCATTGTATTTTCACTGTTCTGTAGCCTTCCCATGTACATAGTATCTACTCCCAAGGCAGCTCCCTGCCTCCTATCCCACTTTTTTGTTTTGGATTGTTTTTCTGAGACAAGGTTTCTCTGTGTAGCCCTGTCTGTCCTGAAACTCACTTTGTAGACCTGGCTGGCTTCCAACTCATGTAGGTCAGCTGCCTGCCTCTGCCTCCTGAGTGCTGGGACTAAAAGCATGCACCAACATGCCCAGCGCTTCCTATCCCCTTAGTGGCAGGAAGCCCAGCTCCAAGGTCCAGGGACCTCCTGCTTTTCCTAGCAGGACTCAGCTAGAGGAGGATAGGGCTATGAGCTGACACAGCACAGCTCCTACCCTGATCTGCATTTCAAAACAGGGTCAAGGAGGTGCACATCAGGATGAGAAGGATCCCAAAGTGCTAACTCAACAAGACCAGCGCTCTTTCCTGATGTTCTGCCTGGTTAGCATTAAGCCCATTACACACACAACACTCTCCCCCCCCTCACACACACACACACACACACACACACACTCACTCACTCACTCACTCACTCACTCACTCACTCACTCACTCACTCACTCACTCACCAGTGCAATCCCAAGAGAATGTAGAATGTAGTTCTCTCTAGGCCATGTAGAGCAGATTCACCCAACCCTGAACCCAGAACTCGAGCTCTGACACCAGGAATCTTCAGCTGTCTTCCTTTATTTATATTTGCAGTATGAAACACAAGCTCTGCATACATACTTGCACACTCACACCAGCCTGGGGGAAGGAGCTGGGACAAGGCCACTTGGCAGCAGTGCTGGGACCGTCAGGGCACTGGGTACCCTGGGTTCTGGGCCTCTGGGGATGTTGCCAGGGAAGCCCTGCTCCCCAGGGCCAGGGGCCAGATGCCTGGTCGAAGTGCAAGGTCTAAACAAATACATGGTCATCCGGGTCTAATGCCCTGTTACACCCCAAGGTGGTCCTGAGTGAAAGGCTGGGTCTAAGCATCTGCACCAGAGCACAGGTCAGCAGCCTCAAACCCCGGCGCCAGTCCGTTGGGACAGGCGGGAAGTTGTGCTTCAGCGCTACTGACCCAGTTATTGTCCTGGCTTCCTTTCTTACTCCTCCCTCTCTCTATATATATAATATATAATATACGTCTTTCTCTCTCTCCTTTCTCTCTATGTGACTATCTTTATTCTAGGAGACAAGGCTCCATAGTTTCTCTTCTCAGTGCAAATGGGGGTGGGTGAGGGTATCTCCCTGGCACCAGCCTCCTTTGGAGTCCAGAGGAGAGAATGTGGGATATGGGATAATGGAGCAGAGGTCCACCAAAGGACCCATCTTGCCCCACTGGGGGATTCCATGGGGAGGACAGAAGATTTGGCCACCACTGCCACCAGGCAGCTACCTGGAAACAGAGGGAGACATTTGTGAGGGTCCAGTGACCCCATCTTCTCCACCCACCCCAGGCTGTAGGCACACTCACTGGGAACTCGATGAAACAGGCTCTCCTGTGGTAGAGCCATTGGGTATCTCAAGGCCCTGGGCACTGTTAGGGAAGAAAGGAAATCTGGAGGTTACTTCTTGCACCACCAGCCTTGCCCCCTCCACCAACACTGACCAGAGAGGCTAACTCACTTCTGGCTTTGGGGAAGCCCCAAAGGTTCTAGGCTCTTTTCTCCCTCCACAGTCTGGGGGGACTGGTGGGCCTCGAAGGCTGGGACAGAGGTAGAGGGGTCTCTGGTTGCACTGTAGGAGAAACCAGTTTGACTACTGTTAGATGCTCCCAGAGCTCTGCCTGCCTGAGGCCACTCGTCTCTCCAGAAGGGGCCTCGGGTGAGGATAGGGCTGGGGAGCAGAGAGACCTCAGAACAGGGAAGCCTATGAGCATACTGACTGCAGAGCATGGTGGGGATGCAGAGCTGGGGGGGGGGGGCGCCAGGCCTCTTCAGCCTTACAGCTGACAGCTTTCAGTGGCCACCCCCCTGCAAAATATGGTTGTGGTGCCATGCACACTCCTGCTTCATGTGGTCCCTGATCTTCTTAGAAGCTGTTCTCACCTCTGGAGTCGCAAGAGCCCTATGTACCATTGTCCAAAAAAATTAATTACTGAAAGGAACAGCTACAGGGGCATAGGAGTTCAAAGAAGAGTTTGGTGCTAAGGACAACTAGGGAGGGACAAAGAGTCCAACACCCACTTCAGCATCCTACACCACCTCCAGCAAGCAGTCAGATGGAATACCAATGGTCACCTGTCCAAGGAGCTGGGGGCAGAGCGCATCCCATGAAGAGTGGCCTGGACATCCGCAACACTAACCAAGGCCTGGCAGGGGGCTGTGGAAGGAGAGATGGGTCACATGTCAGCTGCTACCTTCCAGCAAGCTGAGACTGCTGCTGTCTTCACACATGTGGGCCTGAGGCAGAGTTCAGAGCCCTTATGGGAAAGGTATGGCGTGACTTACCCAAAGGCTCTGCTACTTTGCTGCTATCTGTGACTTCCTGAGGTGCTGAGGGGGGTGTAGGGTCCTGAGACCTACAAGTTAAGAGAGGAGTTTGAAGGTGTGGCTGTGGTGAACACCCAAACCAAAGAGAGAACTAGGATGTGGGAGCATCTCCCAGACGAGAGTCATAACCAACTGCCCTGGCCCTGCCCTGCCCATCCACACCTGAGCTGTGGGGCATCATGGGCTGGAGGGCTGGTCAGGATCTGGTTAGAGGACATGTCTGCCTCCTTGGAAACTGAGGGTCCTGTTGGGGCATCCATAGGCACTGGGTCAAAAGTGGCTGTCCAACTTGGGCCTGTGGCAGAGGTGAGAGAACATGGACAGAAAGTAAGCTGAAAGCAGGTAGACACTCCATGTATACCTGAGCACAAGCCACCAACACTTACCAGAAGGCTGAGGGCCGGGGCTGGGGAAGGAGGAAGGGCTGGTCCTTTCACAGGCTGCCTGGCCAGCCCCCTCATCCTCATCCTCTTCCTCCTCATCCTCCTCGTCCTCCTCGCTGTCTGTGCTTCCTCCACTCCTGCCTCAGATACCAACTCATCAGGAGGCCATGTAGGGACAGCCTACTGACCCACTTCCCCAACCACAGAGCAGATGACAACAAAAAGATGACAGGGAACAGAGGCCTCCAGAGAGACCCAGGGAACCCAAGGATGTGAAGATGCTGGAGAAGCCAGCAAACAAGCAGAGTCTGAGTCACTTGAGAACAAGACTAAGCCACAACCACAAAAAGCAATAGGCACCAACTCTCAAGTCACCTTTGTCACCAAACACACACAGACCTCTCCACCTGCGAATCAGCCCCAGAATAAAAAGATTCCCTTTGCTTTTCCCTCCAGCTAGAAATTGCAGGAAACACAACTGTCACATCCTGAGAACACCACCTAGCACCCTTGGCTGCTCTAAAAATAGTCTGAATGCTTATGACAAACAGTGTGTAACCATGAAGGAAATCCCAACCGCCTGTACACACAAAGGAGGAAGGAAGAATTATGGTAACCCAAACTCAAAGACAAAAACCACGTTATCCCGTAGCTGTGATTTAGTGTAACACTTAGAAAAGAGACCAAAAGGGGGAACATTAGGTAATGAGGGAAGATAGAATGTAGAAGCCAGATGGTTGTGGCATACCTGCATCTTTAATCCTAGTACTTGGGAGGCAGAGGCAGGCAGATCTCTGTGAGTTCAAGGTCAGCCTGGTCTACAAGAGCTAGTTCCAGGGCAGGCACCAAAGCTACAGAGAAACCCTGTCTTGAAAAAACTAACCCCCCCCCCCCAAAAGATAGAATACAGGCCAAAAGGACATGAGTCTGAAAGACAACACAAATCTTTCTATTTTTGCCTATCTCACTCAGTTCCACCATAGTTTGTCTTTTACCTCAAAGCAGGTGAGTGAATTCAGTGTTCTGGGTATTAAAGTAGCAAGAACCATAAACCAGTGATAGAGTAAGTGTAAAACCCTAAGTGACATGCCAGTGCTTCAGAAAAGCTACGTGCTGTATGGAAGAACTTCACTGAGATGTACAGAGCTGGGACTGAATGACTTCCTTCAATCAGCCATGTAATGCTTTTGTGAGTTCATCAGAATAAAGTGAAGAAAGGAAGAATGTAAGAACACGAAAAGCATAAAAGGGTGTAGTGGTGCATGCCTGTGATCCTAAAACTCAGGAGGATCAGAAGTTCAAGGCCATCCTCAGCAACACAGCAAGTTTAAGCTAGGCTAGGCTATATGATGTATCAAAAAAAAAAAACTTGTATACACATAAGGAATCTAAGTCAGCACAGAACAAAGATACCTGCACAGTTGTTTATTATGATACTATTTACAATGTCAAGTTAATAACATCAGTCTCAGCGTCCATCAACAGAGAACTAAGCCAAAAAAAAAAAAAAAAAAGTGGTCCACACACAAAAAGAGGTTTAAGTTTTCTTTAGCCATAAACAATGAAATTACGACATTGGAAGGCTAACAGAGACCACCATGTTAAGGGAAATAAGCTAGCTTACAAAGACACAAAAACAGGGCAGCTAGTTGGGAAGAGGAGAGGGGGAATAGGAGAGCGTTAGAAGAGTTAATAACATATTAAAATGTCACTAACAAATCTACCATTTTGTACAATGAACCTGTCCAAATGTGTGTGTGTGTGTGCATATGTGTGTGTGTGCACTTGAGTGTGGAAATATGCACATACAAGCCAGCAAGGTGGCTTAGCAAACAAAAGTACCTGCCACCAAGTCTGACCACCTGAATTCAATCTCTGGGACCCAAATTGTGGAAGTAGAGAACTAACTCCTGCAAGCTGTCTTTTGACCAATTCCCCCCAACTCCACCAAGGCACTCATGCACCCATACAATAGTAAAAAAACACAGTAAAAGTCTGGGTTGTGGCACACACTTGTAATCGTAGGGTCAGCAGGCTCCCTCAAAACAGTCTATTGACAAGAATCTCAAATCCCTTTTCCTATATTGTATGATTATAAAGAGTGGGCAAGATGTCAGGACACCTCTGTCCATGGCAGGGAAGACAGCAGCCATGTAGGGGACAGAGGAACTGGGTCCTGCTCCTGGCTCTAGATTTTGACTGAGTGCTTCCATCTGGCAACAAGCACAGGGTCTGTACATTTGTCTGTATGCATGCTACACACCAATTATAAAGTTAACACAAATAACTTTCTTCAAATCAAGACATGAGGTAAAAGCTTGGAGCTGCAGACCATACATACTTGAGGTGATGTTCATCTCAGCAAAAGTTCTGACATGAATTAATTTGATCACACTGAGTATCGAACAAAAAAAAAGGAAGAAAAAATGTATCTATAGAAAGCTGATGAACAATCTAGCTTGATAGTGGTTTCATCTGTCATTCCAAAAAGAGGAGAAAGGGAAACTTGTATGTGGTACCATCTGAACTCAGG